AACTATGGTAAAAGTCAATGATGACACAGATAACCATTGTAAAAGTATGAACAGATAGCCATCATATAAGTCAATTGATCAATAATGTATAAGTCAATAATGACACAGATGACCTATCATATAAATCAATAAAAGGCGCGAAAGATCTGTGATGAAACAGTCAGTAGTGAAAGATGATCTATAAACAGATTATAAAAGCTCCCATGCAGCCATCTGCTAGTCATAGTGCTGTCTCAATCTAGCTGACAATTCACGTGAATCGACCAGGAGATTTGAAAATCATCTTTAATCTAGGAGCATACAGAGTCAATAAGAATCTGCTTGTAGGCAAGGTCAATGTTATATGAATAAAATATTAGACTGTGTTTAGCTGATCAATACATAACCTAATTCTACATTAAGGAAAGATTAATTTGTAGAAAAGAACATGTTATAACATCGTTAGCACAGGATAGCAAAGTATAACAGTAGAAAATGATAATATTTATCTTCTGTAACATCATCATTAAGTGCCATGCCGACTAGTGTGGGTAATCATGCATTTCCCCAATCTGCGACCAGCAACTGTTGTGTGTTGACACCCTTCCATGCAACGACAAAAGGCTGTCAAGAACCTTCTTCTTCTAGTGTTTGCTTTCAGATTTACACTGACAGACAAGTTCTTGTGATAAACTTGACTTTTCAGGAGTTCCCTTTTAGTTCTATACAACCCTTCAGTGCAATGTTGATGCACTGGGCCAGTATTCCCTTAAGAATCTTCTCGTGTCAACCTATTCCTTTTTCCACAGACAGTATGACCATAACATAAACCATTAATTTCTCTTATTGTCTTTAGTTCCTGTGCTGCCTCTCAGCGTCAAGTTTAGAAGAGGCATCTGGTGCAAGCCTTGGTGTGTGCTGTGTAGATGCTGGTATACATGCCTCAGAAACTGAGTTTATCGACTGAACCTCTAGTTCTGCTGTGTCTAAGTGATAGGGTTCTTTCTATATGGTGCATTATCATGTCGTAGTCTTGACACATGCCAAAACCATTTGATCTGCCGTCTTTAGATGTAGTTTAGCAAAGATTATGCTGTCATTCATTTCCTGGTATCGTCATTTCTAACTATGTGACTTCTGTATATATTTAGGATTTATCAGACATTTCATTTCTGTTGGTTTGATTTTTGTTTATCCTTTCGTTGTTAATGTCCGTATCTGACACTAGTAATTTATTACACATGTCTCCTGCAACATTGCTGACCTGTCCAATGCCCGGGCATTCAGGCCCAATTGGGGGGGGGGGGGGGGTTTAAACCCCCCCCCCCCCCCACCAAGCATTTATAAAAAAAAGACTAATTTGGGGTTAAAACTTCAAAGTGGAGCACTTGCTTGAAGGGCCCCAATAATCTGCAGACAAAAAACCTCTATCAAAATTTTTGCATGGAAAATCAAATTTTGGGGAAAAAGATAAAATTAGAAGTGGAAAAACAAAAAATTTTTCCCGAGAGTTTCAGCAGAAAAAAGAATAAGAAACCCTTTTTAAAATCTGTGTGAACTGTAATTTCCCTTTCATATTAAAAAACCAACAGCTGCAAGCTGTAAACACAACAAAAATACCAATGCCCTTTTTGGTTGAAAGCAAAGAAAATTATACAAAAAACTTTGGGAAGACAACGGGAAACTCAAAAACCTGCTCTAGCAAAGTAAAATCGTAGAAAACAGGGAAAAATCAAATTTATTTCATCTACCCCTATTAGGTTTGTTTTGGGCCAAAAGGTGAAGACGGATGTGAGTTTTACAGGACACTTGAGAAAAAAGAGAAAAATTAACTAGAAGTCTTTTCACTGGAACCATAGGGGGCCCGAAAAAAAAAAATAGAAAACCCCCCAAAAAATTTACATGGATAAGGTACAAAAGAGCGAAGGTTTAAAAAAAATGGGGGATAGGGGAAACGATCAATTGAAAAATAAAGATTTCTTATGCTCTATTTGGGGATTTAAAAGGCGAAGAAG